GCGTCTTCGTTTGCGCAGGCGCCGCGGGTATCGAGGCACTTCCCCGTGATGTGGTCGCAGCGCCAATTGCGGCAGTGCGTCGTCAGCATGTTCCCCAGGGAATGGCTGAGCAGTTTTGTTTTTCCGTCATTGGAAGATCTAGTCAATCAGTCGCCGTTCGTGGATTTCGCAAAGTGGCTAGACGAGCGCAGCATCGCTGGACCAGTTGGCAGCACGGCAGGCCAGGGCACGTCTGCCATGCTGGAAGCCGCGGCGGGGCGACAGGCCGGGGCGCTCTCGGCCAAGCACGCGTTGCCGCCTCTCCTGGGCCACAGCCGGGATGAGGAAGAGCATTTCCGCGCCGCGGTTGATTTCGCGAAGCGGGGGAAGTTACCGTTCGATGAGGACGTTGCTGCTCCGCATGACTTGAAATTTGCGGCGGAGTCCACCGCCGCAGAGCTGCGCGACTTGAGGGAGTTTCGGTTGCGCAGCATGCACGCGCTGCAAGAGCTTAGTCGCCGGTGCAAGCCCCTCACGGCGGAGCTCTTGAAGTGGCAGAGTCCGACTGTGCGCGCCGTGGCGGGGCATATTCACGCCGGACTCATTGCCGTGCTGGTGGTGCTCGCGCGGTGGCCAGACCAAAAGCTGGCGTTGCGCTTTGTCACCGGCTTTGGCATCACTGGCGTAATGGAGAATACGGGTGCTTTTGAACCATCCGAGTATGAAGCTCCCATGCCCGTGCACTCGCTGCTTGGAGAGTCCAAAGTCTTGCTGGCGGAACTGGATCGCCAGCGCGCGAGTGAGGAGGGCCAATTTCTCTGGGATAGCTGCGAGGAAGAGTGCAAGAAAGGCTGGGCGGCACCGCTGCGAAGCAAGTCGGACATTGATGCGGAGTTCGGCGCGGGGCAGTGGGCGCCGATTCCTGCGTTTTGCCATATTCAGCCTTCTGGAAAAAGGAGGAGAATCGACGACGGGCGTCGGGGTAGGCAGAACGAAGCGACGGCATTTTGTGAGCGGCAAAGAATGTGTACGCCATTCCAGCCTGTCATCGATGCGAGGGTGGTCCGGCAAGCGTGTGCGGACGCTGGTGCCGACGTGGCCCGCGAGAGGCTCGTGTCGGGGGGCGAAGATTTGCCGTCGGCCTATCGCTCAGTCCCAGTGCACCCAGATCACTTGCGCTTGAACGTCGTGGCGGTCCGCGATCCTGTCACGGGAGAATGGAGGTTCCAGGTGGCGTGGGCGTTGCTTTTCGGTTTCTCCGCGTCAGTCATGCAGTTCGCGCGATGGGGAGGATTCCTGCAGGCAGTGCAGCGCCGCGTGTTGTCGCTTTTGCTTGCCATGTATGTGGACGACGCGAATATTACTGATTTTGAATCAGCTGGGGGCGCTGGTCAGGAGGCCGCACAGTGCCTTTGCGCGGAGTTGGGCACGCCTGTGGCTCCCTCGAAGACGAGGAGGATGAGCCCGTCCGGCGATTTTCTGGGCGTCGTGCACACCTTCGGCCCTTCGCTGGACTCGAATGTCATATCTTTCAGGGCGCGCGACACTCTCGTCGAAAAGGCGAAGACGTTCATTGCGGCGAGGCGCAGCGAGGGCAGGCTCACGCCCGGAGACGCCAGCAAGTTGAGAGGCCTCCTCAACTTCATCGCCAGAGCGGCGTGGCACGGCGTGGGCAAAGCAGGCATGGGGGCTCTGAGGCAACGGCAGTACACAGATCAGCCGCCTTGGACCCTGAGCAACTGCCTGGTGCGCGCCCTCGATTTCTTTTATATAATTCTGCAAGACATGCCGAGCCGCGTGGCCGAGATCGCGCCGAGAAGCGAGCCTTTGATTCTCATTGCTTCTGACGCGCGCGCTGACAATGACGCGTGGCCGACAGGGGGGTACGTGTTGTTAGATTGCGCCGACGGCTATCGGCAAGCTGGCTTCTGCGTTTTTGACGGGGCTCTGCTGGGCATGTGGGGCTACTGTGAGGAGCGCTTGAGGCAGGGCGGCCAGCCCATCGCGCTGTGTGAGGGCGCGATGCCGCCCATCATCTACCAGCGCCACGCTAAGCGGCTGGCAAACCGCCGCGTGCTGTATTTCATAGACAATACCAGCTCTCTGCATTCGTACGTCAAGGGCTGCGCGGTGCCGGCCGCGCTGGATCGGTCGATTGCTTTCACTAATTTCTTGGCGAGCCGCCGTTCGATCACCACGTGGTGGGAATTCACGCCTTCGGGGACCAATTGGTCGGACGGGATTTCGAGGCAGCTAGGAAGTGACGCGTTTGTGAGGCGACATCGATTTCCAGCAAAGCGAATCGGCGTGGACAGTCGTATTTGGACGGGCAGCTTGGAGAGCGCATGGCGCTTCGCCCGCGGGTAGCCCCCACGTGTGGCTGCGACGCGCCGTTATACATTGTGTTGCTCGGTAAGTGAACAGCGTTGGGTGAGCGAGCGGGGCGTGGGGGTGAGCAGCGTTGGGGGGATCGGCCAGAGGGATGCATCGCCCCTCGGTCGGTCGGCCTCCCGTCAAGGGGATGCATCCCTCCTTGGGGGAGAGCGGCTCCAGCCGCCCCAATGTTGTTCCCTATGGAAACCCGCTCTCTCTCACCTTAAACCTTACGTTCACTCCAACCAGCAAAAAAACAATGCTTTTGGTCCCTCGGACCCAGTCTAGTAGCTAAGGTGGGCGCGTAGATTATGGGTGCACTTTAGGCCCGGGCAGGCATGGGTGAGTGCTTCATAATGTACGCGCGCGGACACCTTGGAAACGTCGCCCGCGCATGCAGCTCGGGGCGCAGGGGCGAAGAGAGGGGGGGGGCGCCCCCCCCCTTCGCTGCCCGCGCCGAGGGGCTGCGAGGAAGGGGGGGCGACGGGCCGCGGTGGCCGCGCTCACCTTGCGATTTGATTTTTCCCACCCTCCCGCCCTGGGTTTGCATTCAGCAAGCTGGGGGGGGGCCAAGAGGGTAAGCGAAGCGACGAAGCCTCGAGCGCGACACTTCGCGCATGAGGGATGCATCTCCCCTCCGTGGTTGGTCGCGCATGAGGGAGGCATTTCCCCTCTGTTACAAGGGGGGGGATCGGCCAGAGGGATGCATCGCCCCTCGGTCGGTCGGCCTCCCGTCAAGGGGATGCATCCCTCCTTGGGGGAGAGCGGCTCCAGCCGCCCCAATGTTGTTCCCTATGGAAACCCGCTCTCTCTCACCTTAAACCTTACGTTCACTCCAACCAGCAAAAAACAATGCTTTTGGTCCCTCGCACCTAGTCTAGTAGCTAAGGTGGGCGCGTAGATACTATGGGCATACTGACCTCTCGCGACCCCCCCCCCCGTCCGTACCGAGGAGGAGGGGGCAGGAGAGACAAGCAAAGACGGAGGCTCGGTCACACGAGAATGGTTGGTCTGTAATCGCAGGACATCACGGACGAATCCTTGATGGCCGTTGCCCCATTTGTCGGAGGGATAAGCCCCTCCTCAAAGGGGAAGGGGGGGACATATGGGAGAGAAAACGCTCTCAACCACTTCCACCCAGAAAGCTGGTGGGATTCATGCCTTTCCTCCTTCCCCTTCCCCCTCTCCTATCCCTATCCTATCCTCCGCTTCCTCCTTTCGGCGCGTGATGTCGCATTGCCTGCGTCGGTGCCATTGTCGTGTTCGTATTGCGTGTTGCTATAATGTGCATTATTTCCCTCAGCAGCGACGACCACGACACCACTACAGATGTGCGTCGGAGGTTGGGGGGTGAGATCGCAGTGGAACGGAGACCCCCCCACATGGACATCAGTTTCGGTTCCGTTTTCGTGTCGTGCGTGCGGGCGAAGCGAAGTTGCGCAGGCGCGCGAGAGGAATGGTGCCGCCGTGGTTACGACGGTGGCCCGTCGGTGGCGCGCCGTGGTCACGACGGTGTTTCTGGGTGTCCCGCCGTGGTGTCTCGATGGTAGTTCGTGAGATCAGTTGTGAGACCGATAGTGAGATCGGTAGTGAGATCGGTGGCGCGGGGTTGCCCCGTCGGTGGCGCGGGGTGCTCTATCGGTGTCGCGGGTTGTCCCGACGGCGGCTCTGAATGTCCCGCAGTGGTGTCTCGACGCTAGCTCGTGAGATCAGCTGTGTGAGAAGGATAGTGAGATCATTTGCGTGATCGATCGCGAGATCGATCGTGAGATTGAGATATCGATCGTGGGATCGATCATGACATCGATCTCACCAGATCTTCGGCTTGGGCTGACCCGCCGTGGCTGGGCGTGCCCCATCGTGGTGTCCTGATTGTGTCTCGTTAGACCTCTTGTGAGGTCGATCGTTAGATCTCTTAGGAGATCGATAGTGCGATCGATAGTGCGATCGACATCGAGAGCGATAGTGAGATCGACGGTGAGATCGACTGTGCATTTCGTGAGATCGATGGGCGCCATCAGTCATCGTAGTAGTTGTCAGTGGTTTTTTCTTTCCCCCGGGCATTATTTTCATCAGAAAGGGGTCGTATAGGTATGCGGTGTACATCAGTCGTCTGATAGCGCGTTCGTGGCTTGATGGTGTCTCATACATGGTGTATAGCCTGATGGTGTTCACAGGCTGGTTCTGTACATCTGCTTGCGTACGTGAGAACATATCTGGTTCTGCACACAACTCGATGGTGGTGCGTGCATGCATTGATTTGGCGACGTGCGCAATCCAATGCTTACGGAGGACGTCGCGTACTTGATCTACTTTCGTTTGTGTGCAGGCCTCCGGGCGACGCAGGCCTTTCCGTCTACACGAGCGGTGTGGTGTCGATGCGCCGTATGTCTGGGCTGTGTGGAGGAGCATGCTTGCGGCGAGCATAACTTGCGTACGTTGTGTACACGGACATGTGTGCTTGCGCGTGTGCGCACGCCGTCTAGTGGTGCAGGGTTGGCTTACAGCCCGAGCCCGCTGCACACGCTCCCCGCCGTCGTGGCCCGGCTGGCCTGTCGACGGTGGATCTCCCTTCCTCGGGTGTTCGTGGTCGCACATCGGGGTGCCCCCCGCCAGTCCTTGTCGCGCCCTGCGCTCGACGCCGGCAGGAGAAGGCCCAGGACGGGCGCAAGGGCCTCCCCGTTCCGGCAATGGAGCGCGAGGTCTCGCGAGCTGTTTCGAGAAGTATCAATCGCCGAGAACCGAAGTATAAACAACGGCATAATCATAACTTCTCGGAGTTCGCGCGGATGTTTTTGATCCGCGCTGGGCCTCTAGCGGCGCCTCCGGCGTTGCCCCTGGTGCGCTCCGCGCGACAGGGAGTGGAGGTCCAGCGCCGATCTGAGACATCCGCGCGGAGCTTCCAAAGTAGATGTGTATGACATACTTCCCCCCGATGCAGTCCCAGCTCAAACATCTGCATACTTTTTTTCGGAGGTCGACAGGTATCTTGAATCGCCACTGGACTGCTTCCGCGCGGAACTCCGGAAGTGTGTTTTTGTGTACAGGATGTTTCCTTTAGGTCTTCAAGGTTTTTCGTTTTTGGGTTCTTGGGGTCCTGGGACCTTTTCTAGAAACGACTCGGGTTGAAAAGCGATTCTCCCGTGGAAGGCCAGGGTCTCAGGACTCGCTTCCACCAGAACAAGTTTTCTTCTTGCCAAATCGAGGTTGCAGGTTTTGGGGGGCGTTCTGGGAATACAAGTTGGGCCTTTGTTGGTCTCCAGGGAGCTCCCGAGACCTCCAAGGCACTCCAGAGGCGCATCGAGTTGAAGGAAGCGGGACGTGCGCATACTCATAACATATTGAGCCCGCAGAGCGGGAGTCACGGAGGGCCCCAGGGGGAAGTTTGCACGCAGATGTTGCAAACGTTGGGTGTTGGTGATATATTGCCTCGACGTTGGTCGGTACCGTCCAATCGTTGCAATTTCTCTTGGGGCCATGTTGGCGTTCCGTGGGGGTCGGACAGCCTCTTGGGTGTCCCAGGGGAGTCTGAGGCAGGAGATGCGTGCGGGGTGTGCAGAATTGAGGCTCTCGTGGCCCCGCGATGGCAATTCACTCGTACTTCCACGTGCCCAAGAAATGTCAGACAGGAAATGCGTGAGACCTGCACCGAAGCGAGACGTTCGTAGCTCTCGGGGCGCGGATCACAAGTATGTTGACGTTCCCCAGGAGCTGGGATGCAGCCCTGCCTTGCGGAATGCGTGACGCACCTCTTAGCATGATTTCCTCATGCCATCTGATTCTCCTCCATGCCGTCGTCATCCCATCATCCGCCATCGATGCATTTCACGGCGATGGCCCGCAGGGAGCCCGCCGAATTCAAGCGCTTAGCTCACTCCGCCAGCCCATATTGCATCATCGTTGTCATTTGCCCGCGTGATCGCGGGGATCCGGAAGTTGCTAGTTGTGGCATTTCCCAAAAGTATTTTGCGTGACGCTCGCGTTGGTGAAAGCAGCCGCTTGGTTGATTGAGGGCAGCGCTTAGGCCTTCGGTCCATTCCGCTACCGTGCCTGGTTGTGGCCCGGAGGCATCTTGAATGCATATGGGGCCTCTTGGAGGGATCTTTCGGGCTTGTCTTGGGAGCTTCCTGGGAGTTTCTAGGGAATGGGCATCTTTGGAGCATCTTTCGGGCCTTCTGTGGGCCTCTGTTGGGAGCGTTTGGGTGGCATCTTGTCGCCTCTGGGGAGTCTCATGGAGGCTTGCTGGCTGTCCTTGGAGTCGTGCTACTGGGCCGTCTTGGGCGTTCGACGCCCGTGGCTGGACTCGTCTCGAGATCTTGGCCGGAACAAGCCACAGGACAGGTCGGGGAGACGAGTTTGGGCGTCGCAAGCTAAGATCACATCGGGTATAGTGCTTGATTGATTCCGATCTTCGGGGCCATTTTGCCGAGCCCCGAGACGTTTCAAATTACCCGTGGCGGAACAACATATCCAGGGATGGGTCTTTACCATTCTTGGCCAGGCTCGTCTCGGGCCCAGAATCGTTGGATGTGGCTTACCTAACAGCCAGCTCGCAGCCGCGAATGGTATTAGTGAAAGGGGGTGGATCAGTTCCGCAACGGCTCCCACGGGCATTTGTGAAGTCTGTTTAGGTGCATGGCAAGCAAGAGGGTTTCTTGCGCCCCCAGCTGCAACGGTCAATGGATTGCGCATTGCTTATCACACGTGCGTCATGCCAAACACGGGTACGTTTCTCTTGTACGACGGGACCTACAACGGGGATCACAAGAAAGGGTAATGCTGATTACAAGGACGGATAGGGCACAAACGGTTTGTCGCGGATTTGGTTGTTGAAGGGTAGTTTGCGAAGGCAGCCAGCATTGCGAGAATGTAAACCAGAGCGACTTGCTCGGTATGCCTATACTGCGTGGTGGCGTCATTTAGACATTCTATGTCCCTAGCCGTGGTTGCCCGAGGGGGGTCCTACTTCTTCGGTTTGCAGCCATAGGTTGCGCCATAGGCTGCGCCCATGGATTGTACCAGGAAGGGCGAAGATTCTGCGAGGCCACTGGTTGCTCTCATGGGCTGCGTGCTGATAGCTCGCGCCTATGGTTTGTGCCAATGGTCGCGCATGGGGGTTCTGCCATATGTTCCGCTTACGGATTACGCCTGGGGGTGCGGGGATCTTGCGAGGCAACAGGTTGCGCCCATTGGTTGCGCCCATGGGTTGCGCCTGAGGATGTGAGGATCCTGCGTGGTCATATGGTGTGCCGTCTGATCACCACATAGTCTTTGCACACGGATTAACTGAGGAGTGCGAGAATTTTTCATGATCGTAGATCCATAGGAAGCCCCGCCCATGGGTTGCGCGATGGTCTGCGAGTAATGTTGGTCTCGGTCACACGGGCAATTAATTGAGCCACATTGTTTGTGATTCGTGTATTCAAGCGGCGTACGCTATTCTGCCGACCCCCAGGAAGGGGGATGGAGACCATCTGGGTGCCCTCTTTGGGGGCTCTTGTTGGCTTTTTCTGGCCTCTTGGGAGTTTCTTTGGCGCCTGCTGGCGGTCTCGGGGGTCCTTTTGGGGCGGAGGGCTCGCAATGTCAGATCGAGTTCCCTCTCCGGGACCCCTTTGGGGGCCTTGTTGGAGCTCTCTCGCGCCATCTTGGGCGCCTCTCGGGCCGTCTTGGGACCCTCGTTGGCCGGCTTGGGGCTTTCTCGGGGGCCTTTTGGGTCGTCGTGGAGCGATGTTGGGGGTCTCTTGGGCCGTCTGAGACTCGGTTAATCAGTCCAAACATGTGATTTTGTTTCCTATGGATTTGACGATTCTTGTTTGCTTGCGCCATCTCGAGGGTCGTCTTGGAGCCCTCTTGGGACGTCTTTGAAGCCTCTTGGGTAGTCTTGAGGCCCTCTCGGTCGTGTTTGAGGACTCCTCGGCGTATTGGAGCCCAGTTTGGGGCAGCTTAGATGACATCTTGGGCATCCTGGAGGCTACGGACTCTACACTCGGAGGCTACAGAGGCCCCAGGAGTGCGTTTGGGAGCTCGTCCCCCACACCACCCCCGTGGCCCCCGTCTAATCAGATGTCAGACCTTAGGGGAAGGGGAAAGGGGAATTTGGACAGCCAATCATCTCACGCGGCTATGCACCCTCGGTAAGCGGGGGTCGGCGGATTCTTTCCTGGAGGAATTAGAATCTACCCCCCGCCAGTCCGCCGCCCTGCTTTCGCCCTCTGTGTCTCCCTTCGCTCCTCCTCTTCACCTCGCCTCTCCTTCTCCTTTTCCCCCTCTCCGGCTTCTCGGTTTTCTGCCTGGGCCTTACTTCGGGGCGGCCGGTCCCGCGGCGAAATAAGAGTTTATGTTTTTTTGGGTCGAGTCTAGTACTCTTTGCTTGCCCCAAGGCTGGGGTTAACGACATCCCTGCTCGTATTGCTTTCCATATGCATGTTGCGCGGTCGTTCACACTGAGTCTGAAATATTAGCATGCCAGGCTGGCATCGATCCCCCCCCATCCCTGTGAAATCATACAGTGCGTTGCACATGCGTTGATACGCGTGTGGTTACTACGAACATTTTTGCAGTGATTCGGGGCAGATGCGCGCGTTGTCGCGCGCGCGTGTCAACATCATTCAAAACCAGTGATCTCTTGAGAGATCAAGACAGGAGCATACTCACGCATGATGAAACAGATCGTGCGGGCCGCACGCGCGCCCATGCCGAACACGTTCAACAACTACCGCGCGCCCGCCAACTCTGTCAAAGAAATCCATGCGGGCCACACGCGCGCGTCTCTGCATGACCATGTCGAACTCAAAAAAAACCATCGCCCTTCCAACACTTCAACAAAGGGGCCTTCAAACACACAAAACATACAGCAGGAATTCTCAATGTCCGCGGGCGCGCGCTCCGTCATCGTCTTGTTGAGCACTATCGTTATCATCATCCTCAGCGGCATTATTTTCAGAATCCTCATCGTCATCGTCGATGTCGTCGCCCTTGTCAAATTTCTGCGCAGGCCCACTTCTTCGTCATCTTCACCAGCACAGTCGTTATCGCCAGCGCCATCGTTACCACCGTAATTCTCATGAGCATCGGACTCATCATCATCATCACCATCGTCGTCGACATCGTTCCCACCGTCGTCGTGAACATTGTCATCATCGTCATCCTCGCTGGCGCCTCCCAATTGTTTTGTTCAAAGAAGGTGAAGTTTGTTGGGTGTAGCATTTTGGACAATCACTGGAGGTGGTCACGTGCATCAATACACCACGGAGTGCACCACAAGAGAGCGTTAATTCGTCGCACTTGATGACAGTTAATGATCTCGCAGCATGCATATGGGTTGCCAAGGACAACGTGAGGTACATTGAAGTTTTCACTTGTGCTGTTCTGCAGACTGCTTACATGTCTTTCACGCTTGCTTCTGACGTGTGAAGTTCTCGGTCTCTCAATTTGGAGAACCGTGTGCGCCGCGGATCATGAATTCGCCTCGGGAAATTGATTGCCAGCAACGCTGGAAAAAGGTCCTGGGCCTCGGTTGGGCGCGCGTGGTAATCTCTGATGTCTGCATTCGAGGCCTCCTAGGGGGGCCGGGATAGAAGGGATTGGAAGATCGCACCGTACCGGTGCTTCGGCGATGCGGCGCGACCTAGTGCCCGATTCTGTCCAGCCCCACATCGCCATTGCACCCGCGATGCAGTGCTATCTTCGGTCCCCAAGTGCTCAAGTCTTCTACAAATGGCCTTCAAACCTGTTGCTCGTCGTTCCTCTAGGTCGCGTTCCTGAGCGCCGAGCTCAAGGCCTACCAGGAGCAGACGCTGAGACTGGCGAAGCTGCTCCAGGAGGCTAAGACGAAACTCGAGACGCTCCAGAACGAGAACTCGTTCCTCAAGAGCGAGCTGGAGGTGATGCACCAGTGCTCCAACGACGCCGACGAGCGTCTGGACACGCTCAGGCGGCACTTCAACGAACGTATCCGCGAGATGGAGCGCAGGTATGCCGAGAAGGCCCGGTCGGCTGGAGTCAATTCCCGACCATCCATGCGGAGCGCATACGTTCTGTTATAGCCGAGATTGACGAGCAGGCAGACCCGCGACCCTTGTGTCCTCTGAAGCATTGGTTTGCACCGTGTGCCCCCTGGCGGCTTGCCCTTGCTATGTCGCCCGTCGGAGGTTTACTCGATCTTTCGGATGCCATCTGTCTCTGATTGCGGTTGCAGAACCGATCTCGGAAGGATGATGAGGACGAAAGGGTAGCGCTATTGGGGGGGGCAGTTAGTTGTCGGGAGGAGCGGGCGTCAAGTGGACAGTCTGCTCGTTGCCAAAAGGAGCGCGTTTGGAAGGAGACCTTCGGCCGCCTGCGCTCTCACCTCGAACTGGGTGCCATGGACGTGGACGCCCCCATGCTTGGGCTCGGGCCCGACTTCCAGATGGGCCGCCGCTCAGGTGCCTGGAGCGCAAGAGAAGGGCGACCGGAGGGGATGAGGAGAAGAAGGGGATCTCATTCAGAGAAGGGAAGGGGGAACGCGAGAGAGCATGAGCAGGATTGTGAGGACCACGAGTAGACGAGCAGTGTCTGCAGGAGGGCCAGAGCGAGGGGTAGTGTGAGGATGAGGACAAGGTCGTGTGCGAGGATGCGGACGGTGAAGAGGCAGCGGCGGAAGAGGACGGCGAAGAAGACGACGCGTACGAGACGAAGAGGATGATAAGGCTGGTGATGGGGTGGGAGGGTGGGGGGAGGAATGAAGAGGATCAGGAAATTGATGAGAAGGGACGTGAGCGTGAGGGGGACTCGGAGCAGGAGCAGGAGCAGGATGGTGAGGAGGTTGGAGGACGAGGCGGATAAGGGTTAGTTATGGGTGAGGCGGAGCAGACGTGGGAAGGCCAAAGGGTTCAGGCCTTCGCAGAAGGCGGTGGGACTTCGGAGAATGCTGGGGGAAAGCTTCTCAGCAGAAGGCCAGAGGCCTTCTGAGACCACAGAGGGCCCGTCACTTCTGTGTTCACCCCTGGGCGCGCCTCCGACACAAGCTGGAGGCTGGTTGGATGAACCGGAGGATGAGGAAGGAATGAGCCGGACGTCGGACGGAGGGGAGACGATGGAGGAGGGAGGGGGGATGATACATGTTTGTCCACGGGAGGCGGAAAAGAGCCGGATCTGCAGGATGGTAACGAAGAGGGAACCGGGGCAGGATTGCAAGCGGCAGCAGCAGCAGGGGGTAGGGGGGGGGGCCTGCAGGGAGCGTCGAGCGGCACGAGGCGCGGCAGGGGGGGCAACAGGAGCTGCAGGAGCAGGGGCACGAGGGGAGGCAAGGGGAGCCGTGAGCAGCCTGCGCGAGGAGTCCAGGAGCAGCTAAGATGCGTAAACATCAATTTTGCATCATAGGCCTTCGGCGCCGCCACTGGCGCGCTCCGCGCTTCAGACACGGGGTCCAGCGCCGATCCGAGAAATCCGCGCGGACCCCCGAACATTTCCGTGCATGTCATTGTTGATTCCCCTGGCCGGGTAGCGGGCGGAGAGGGAGGGCGAGCAGGAGGAGCGGAGGCAGGACCACGGAGGAGACAGCGTGCGTGGGGCGGGAGCCGCGAGCGGGAGCCACAGGTGGGGGTGGGCGGGGGGAGGAGTCAAGTTGGCCAGGTCGAGCGAGCCAGAGGGCCCCGCGCCGCGCCCACGCTGGAACACCACTTCCGAGCCAGCTGCACCCGGCACTTGGGCGAGGGCGGCAAGTCGCCCATTCGCACGGGCTCCCCAGCATTGGCGAGTGCCAATTGTGCGCCGCGTTGAGGCGGGAACGCCATTGTCAAGCGAAGGCTCCGACGCGCCGGGACGCCACCACCACCACTGAGCCAAGCATCCGGAAGGACGCGTGGGCAGAAGAGCGCGCGATTGGCGACTCTTCGGGTAACTAGAAAAACTTGACGAGAAGACGGAGCGCCTCACTTTTGCGAGGCAGAAAAATGGAGCGCCCGACTGTGATGCAGAGACGAGCAGCGAAGCGGAGGAGGAGAGGAAGGGAGCAATAGCAAGAGGCGGCGGAGGAAGGGGGCAAGAGGCGCCCGACTGTGAAGCAGGCCAGGGCTGGCAGCCATTCTACGCAATCACGGGTGTTGGGTCAGTTTGTGTACTTTTTGCGCCCATTGTTGTTTAGGTCGTCCGCGCCGCTGGCGTTCCACCCAGTTCTTCGGGGTGCCGTCTTGATGACATACGAGTTGCTTTACCAAAGAATTGGACTCACTTGACACTATCTTGTCGTACAAGTTGATCTGCCTATCAAGCAAATGCTGGGATAAGGGTTTGGCGTGGGCCTGGTTCAGAACGTCCGCGTTGGTAACGCGAGATGTGTAGGAATGCGGTATACCCAAAAGCCTCCGTAGACACCGGCAGTGAAAAGCATCCAGCCTATGTCTGCCGGCACTCAATAACCAAATCAAATCAAGCAAATACAGCAATTTGCCCAACACGCAGCTCTCGTATATTTTGTACTTGTGTTTCCAACCACCTGATGTATGACCCCATATCTTCGCCAATTGCTTGAATATGCGCTGTGCTTCCCCCAATCTTCTCGTCAATTCGGGGCTTGCTCTTGCATTACACGCAATCGTTCTTCCTAAGTAAATGGTTTCCCGGACTGTTGCAATTGGACCTCCGTCTGGGCGCTCAAAAGTACAGCTTGTGCAAATTTGCATCTGTAGCGTTTTGCTCCAGATGAGCTCGAGGCCATACTTGCGACCTTCAGCGACGATGGCGTTGAGCATGTTTTGCATATTCTGCTTGCTCCGTGAGATCAAAAGTATGTCGTCCGCTTGCAGCACGTCGAGGGTCACCACGTAGGCGGGCTCCGCCTCGAAATCGATGGAAGCCATGACGTCGAACAGCATGACAGTCTGGACTGCGATAAACAAGTAAAGAGATAGACGGCACCCTTGTGCAATACCTGCAGTGTGTCGTCTCTCCGTGGATTTGCCCGTGTGGTCGACTATCGTGAAAAACCGGGCAGCGTAAATTGCATCAACCATGGAAACCATGTTTGTTGGTATGCCAAAGCGCCGCAAGGCATCGCTCATGCTGTCGGGTTCGAGTCGGTCAAACGCTTTCGCCCAGTCCAACATGATCAACAGAAGACCATCGTTTGTATTGGAGAGCGAGGCGTCGATCATCCGTCTGACAAGCATGAGGGCATCTGCGGTCCCACGCCCGGGCGAAATCCGAATTGCAAGCCGCGCATGCGGGATTCAGCACCTCGAGAAATCAACCTTTGATGGAGCAAGGATGCCAAAATGTTATACCCCACTTGTAATAAAGATGTTGGTCTGTAATTTTCGGGCAATGCGGTATCTCCCTTTTTGAACAACAATGTGACATTTGCCCGCCTCCATGATGTAGGCATTGACTTTTGCTCCCAACACTTCTGGCATAAGCGAAGTAGCAGTGCGCGCGCATCCCGATCAGACTTCAGACATTTCCAAAAATCTGGAGGGATACCATCGGGTCCAGCAGATGTCCCTTGTCGAAGCTTCCGTAAAACAACAGAGATCTCGTTCATGTTGAACGCGTTCGTGTTGATCGGCAGCACGTCGCCGATGCGCGCACGCGGCTCCGGAGCCTTATCCGGGAAGCGGGTTTTCCACTGCACATCTTCAAAGTAGTCGGCCAGGACGTTCGCGCGATCCGCTGTGTCCGCAAGGGCCTCAAGGGTCCCATCAGGGCGCTTGATGGTCGCATGTTGTACCGTCCTGGGTCTTCTCAGGTGTCGTGCAGCTTCCCATCCCCGATCTCGTACTAACATGTCCAACCAATCTCTCTTGTCTTTTGCCCTGGCCTTCCGAATCAGCGTGTGCAGCTGCTTTTCTCTTGCGTGGTCACTGTGTAAGCGAGCCGCTTTGCGCTGCTCGATGAGATCGAGAGTGTTTTGGCTTGTCCAAGGCTGTCTAGCTACGACGGCTCGCTTTGGTGGAAGTATTTCGGAGGCCTTTTCGAAACCATGCTTAACCCAACTGTCTGCTAGCTCCAAAGAATCGCTTGCGTCTTCCACAGAACTCCCAACTCCGCCAACAAATGCTGCAATGAAGTCGTTCTGAATGCTTGGAATGTTCAGGCTAGCTGTGTCTATGAATGTCTTCTGCGGCGGGTCCTTCACGCGAAAGTCCAAATTCGAGTCCAACAACATAAGGAAATAATGTATGTTAAGTACATCTCGACGGCTGCTCCTGATATCTTTGATCGTATGTTGGACGGTCCGGTGGCAAAGAACATGGTCGATTTGAGCGAATTTCTTCCCGGTGATTTCGCTGTCCATCGGGTCGGTGCCAAGCTCTCTGTAGGTTACTTATTGGTCCGCCGGATGGTCGAAGAACGCATTTGGCCACCATCATCTCGCACGAGATACAAGCTTCCATCAACAATTGCCGATTGGAAAGTGCATCTGGAGTTTGATTGTTTTGGGCACTCCCGCTCGTAGCACGTATCAGAACAGGAATAACACATAAACACAAAGGGTTGTATTGGTTTTACGCCGGAAAGGGGCTTCGTTGAGAGGGTGCCTGGCACGGATGCGTGGATCGGGGAGGCGTCGGTGTTTGGAGTTGGCGGTTGGCGTGGCATGTGCGTTTAGCTGGTCGCATGTGTTCGGAACGCGTGACGGGTGGACAGGCCGCTCACCAGCAGCTGGCAGTCCTCTGCCCGCGGGCCAGAACAAATCGCCGCGCGCTCGCAACGGGGTGTGGGAAAGGGGGTTGGGAGAGAGTGCGAGTCTCATTCCCACGAAGTCCCTTCGATGGGCAGTACACAATTATTTTTCTCTCCATCTGCCGCACGGCCAATCGAACAAACGAACAACTGTCTCGGCGCGCAGTCTTATCTTCGCCTGCGCGCATCCAGGTTTCCTTCCGTTGCTTCCTTCGCTGCTTTCTCGTTCTCCTCTTCTTTTTCCTCTTCCCCTGCTTTGCCTTGTCCCGCCCCCCTTTCCTTTCCAGCTCGGAGCTGTCACCGCGCGCGAAGAGCGCAACCCAAAGGGGGTTGCTGTAATTCCTTGGTGTGCCACGAAGGGGTCGTGTAGTTCCTTTGTGTACGGTCTGGTTACACTGCCAACGCGGGGGGCACACAAAGGAATTTCTTGTGTGTGCGATCATTTTCGCCGCCCCCATAAGAGCACGCGCGATTCCTTTATGTAGAGCTTGCTCTCCCGCCTCGAGGAGTGCACGGGGCCTGGCGCTACATCACAAGGCCGCGGCGCCTGGCAGTGCGATGCACCTGCGCCTGATACCACGCCCTAAACGATCCTACGTGGATTTCAACTCTTCTGCCTAAATCGCGCTGGCAGCTGGCCAGCCACATCGCCGGCCCTGCATGCCCGCGCGCGCTACTGCGTTCTGCTGCCGCGACGCGCGCTGCTGTCAACGGATGAACGAACTGACGTCGCACGGTGGTTTGGCTGTGCCAAACCACCATG